GCAGAGTACACGCTGTAGGGCTGACACACCCGCTTTGAGACAACTAACTGCTATTCAATCTGTAACAGTGAAAAAAGTTTTTTGTTTTTAAATGCAAGCTATTATGACACCAGATATGAGTGGCACTGTGAACTGGCAGAGTACACGCTGTAGGGCTGACACACCGCTTTGAGACAACTAACTGCTATTCAATCTATAACAGTGAAAAAAGTTTTTTGTTTTTAAATGCAAGCTATTGTGACACCAGTGAGTGAGTGGTGGCACTGGGCACAGTATCCACTGTGAGCCTGACACACCCGCTTTAGACAACTAACTGCTATTCAATCTATAACAGTGAAAAAAGTTTTTTGTTTTTAAATGCAAGCTATTATGACACCAGATATGAGTGGCACTGTGAACTGGCAGAGTACACGCTGTAGGGCTGACACACCCGCTTTGAGACAACTAACTGCTATTCAATCTATAACAGTGAAAAAAGTTTTTTGGTTTTTAAATGCATGCTATTGTGACACCAGTGAGTGAGTGGTGGCACTGGGCAAGTGGGCACAGTATACGCTGCGAGCCTGACACACAGACGCTTGCAGAGAACTAACTGCTATTCAATCTATTACAGTGAAAACATTTTTTTTGGTTTTTAAATGCACGCTATTGTGACACCAGATATGAGTGGCACTTTGAACTGGCAACGGTTGGCAGAGTACACATTGTAGGCCTGACACACCCGCTTGAAGACAACTAACTGCTATTGAATCTGTAACAGTGAAAAAAGTTTTTTGTTTTTAAGTGCACGCTATTGTGTCACCAGATATGAGTGGCACTGTGACCTGGCAGAAGTTGGCAGAGTACACGCTGTAGGGCTGACACACCCGCTTTGAGACAACTAACTGCTATTCAATTTATAACAGTGAAAAAAGTTTGTTTTTTTTAAATGCAAGCTATTGTGACACCAGTGAGTGAGTGGTGGCACTGGGCAAGTGGGCACAGTATATGCTGTGAGCCTGACACACAGGCTGGCAGGCAGGCAACTGCAATTACATTACAGAAAAAAAAAGCAGACTGATGTTCTAGCCCTAAAAAGGGCTTTTTGGGTGCTGTCCTTACAGCAGAGATCAGATGAGTCCTTTAGGACTGTAGTGGACACTGTATACACTAACCTAGCTATCCATTTCCCTATCAAATCAACAGCAGCTATACTTTCCCTCCTCTCACTAAGCATGCAGCTTGAGAATTAATCTAAAATGGATGCTGTCCAGTAGGTGGGAGGGTCTGCTAGGGAGGGTGTGCTGCTAATTGGCTGGAATGTGTCTGCTGACTGTGAGGTACAGGGTCAAATTTTACTCAATGATGACGAATGGGAGGCGGATCGAACCGCGCATATGTTCGCCCGCCGTGGTGAACGCGAACATGCTATGTTCGCCAGGAACTATTCGCCAGCGAACCGTTCGGTGCATCACTACCCTGCAATCAAACTCAAACATTACACACAAACACACCCCTGTATTAAATTACGAACTATATACAAGCACCCCTTCAAACACCAACACTGTACATTATATTATAGCGCCAATAAATGCCGCAGCGCTGTACAGATATACAACCTAGAAATTTTGACATGGGGTGCCTTGAAAAAATATTGAAATATTAAGGGCGCTTTGAACCTAAACAGTTTGGGAACCACTGAGGTAGACATTTCTGGTTCTAAGTGTCTATGCTGGAGTTGTGCTTTTTGTTCTGATTTTTTTTTTTTCTTCCATTGCTTGAGAAAGAGGGGTTCCTGGGAGTGGACTGTGACATTACAGATTATGCCCTGTTATGATTAGTTTGTGTTTTTCTTTTCATATGTTTTTTTTCCTTTGCTGCTAAGAAAAAGAAAAAAAGGAAAAATTCATCCCTATCTTAAAAAATAATAATAATAATAATAAAAAGACACTGCACTCCCTGCACGGAATCATGGAAGACCATAGAGACTGTATGTTTTCAAACTTTGTCCGACCCACGATGCATGTATATTGCTAAAAGACCCTGTCATATATTAAAGGTAGAGATGGGTTTTCCTCATTTTGTTAAATATATACTTCATTTATATATACTTTTAAAATTTGATGAAAGTATTATTATAGTAAAATAGTTCTGAGGTGACAGTTGTATGCTACAATAAAATGTTGTGTTTATGGTGTCTTGGTGTCTTTTTACTGATTTTTATTTGTTAGCTTTCAATAAGTCTGTTTTTGACACCAGAAATCATTTTAAAATAAAATAGTAAATGTATTGGTGGTTGTTATATTATTCAAAACTATTCCCATGTCCAATGTTTCCACCGAAACGTTTAAACAAAAATACAAGTGTACATAAACACACACACGAAACGAAGCAGGTCAGTATAGTTCATTTATAAAAAGCTTAATCTACTTATTTACATCGGCTGAAAAGAGACATCCAGTTAAGCCTTTCTCACATCTGTTTTTGTTGTTGACCCAAAAGAAGGCAAAAACACATCTTTTCACTTTTTGTAACAAACTAGGAAAGCGTTTGTCCTTGCCCCCAAAATTCATATTATGTTCAGGCAGGTTATTCAATGTCTTCATTGTTTTTACTGTAAAATACACTTTCTTTTGCCATATAATAAATCTAATTTCTTCCAGTTGAAATGCATGACCTCGTGTCCTATGTATGGTCCTGTTTATGCATAGATTTCCAGACAATGGCAGGTTAAGTAGTTTATTCCCAATAGCAGTTCCACTTATCAGGTAGCGCAACCATGGCTGCGATTGTTCCCCCCCTCCGCCTCCCCTCCCCCCCCCCGACTGAAGCAATAAAAAAAAGTTTATATTTACATTGTGCTGTTTTATTCATTTTCTTTTTAAGCTATTCCAGATGTATAGTGCCAGTCATGTTTTTTAGTGGTAGTGTGAAAGGTGTATTCTTAGTGTATGTCTTTGCCACGGTTGTTGACTTTCAACCTAGTGTATAGCTTAGCTACAGTTTGCCGATCTGGTTCTGCTGGTGCATGGGTTACCTTTAGTTTAATTGTTTTCAAATTCCTGCAAGAAATTGTGTCTACATGATAAGAAAATACAAGGCTGTTCACAGGTTCAAAGATATGGAATTCTCTGCATAGACAGATGTTTCAATCACATTACATAGGTGTCTTTTGGAAACCAATTCAAGAGTTGTGTCTTTACGTGCTCCTTAATCAATCGCAATCGCATCACTGGGAATGCATCGAAAACTGGACTTTATTTTTAGTCTATTATCCACCTGTGTTACTATAGTTTTGGAATTGTATATACTATTTATATTTTGAAGTTCATTAAATTAATATTTACAGTACTGCTGTCATATGAGTTGTTTGCAGAGCTCTTTGTTTAATCTAAAATACTGCAAATATTGTATTTAAGTCACATATCCCTTTTATCTAAAATATGATTTTTAAAAATCTAATCTTGTAAAAATGTATCTTAAAGTGTCATGTTTATTTACTAAGTATATTTCTGCCAAGGACTCCTGTTGCCTTAAAGGACCACTATAGTGCCAGGAAAACAAGTTAATAGACTTGTGCATTCAGTTTCAAACAAATTGCGACTCATCCAAATTTTGGTTGATCAGCGGGTCGTCTGAATTCCATAACTTACGATAACGTTACATTATAACTAAATCACAATTACCCAGACAATGGATGAGCCGCTTAGTTTGTTTCGTGATTTGGAGTTTTTTCAGTGCCCCTCCCCCTAAAATTAGATAACTAATGGGGAGAAAAAAATGTTTGGTTAGAGGACACCCACTAAATGTTGATTTTATTCACTAATCAATTAAGAATTAACCAATAATGGGGGGGGGAAGGAGCAATAAAAAAAATTATGTATTATTATTATTTACTGCGCCTCCCTTTTCCCTCTATTGATTATCTGTGGAACCAAATGGTGGGAAAACGTACCTATCGGAATACTGTAAAGTATATACATAATTTTCACACCCTTTTGGTTCACCTGAATTGTTACTCCTTGCATGCACGGAATTCGTCTGAACCAAACAGAAATGTAGGGTGATCGTTCTGTGCTTTACGAGTGAATGAGATCTAAATCCAGTCGGAATCTGTTATAATGTTCGTCCACCCACAGTAAAGCGCTGCGGAATTTGTTGGCCCAATATAAATAACATAATAATAATGTTCTGTAGTATGCATCTTGCATTAGTGCCAGCCAAAGCAGGATTAACCATACAGCGACCAGAGGTTTAAACAGGGGCCCCATTTACCATCCATGTGAAGAATGAAATGTAGGTCCCAAACTGGTAACTTACCTAGGGCCCCCTGTTGTATCTTCATCTCTGGAGCCAGTGCTGTACATGTTGCAACAAGGACAAGAAGATTTTACCAGGTTTGGCCAAGGGATCAGTGATACCAGGAAACTGGTTCCCAATGTCCTTAAAGGACCACTATAGTGCCAGGAAAACATACTCTTTTTCCTGGCACTATAGTGCCCTGAGGGTGCCCCCACCCTCAGGGACCCCCTCCCGCTGGGCTCTGGGGAGAGGAAGGGGTTAAACTTACCTCTTTCTCCAGCGCCGGGCGGGGAGCTCTCCTCCTCCTCTTCGGCTGAATGCGCATACACGGCAGGAGCCGCGTGCGCATTCAGCCAGTCCATAGGAAAGCATTCACAATGCTTTCCTATGGACGCTGGCGTCTTCAAGCGCCTCTAGCAGCTGGCAAGAGACAGGAGGCTGGATTAACCCATTTATAAACATAGCAGTTTCTCTGAGACTGCTATGTTTATAGAAAAAAAGGGTTAACCCTAGCTGGACCTGGCACCCAGACCACTTCATTAAGCTGGAAGATGCTATCTCTGACTAGAAATATCAGTAAGACATTGCTCTCTGTGTGAGTTTGTAAAATAAGGGGAAAGTCTGGCTTTCTGTGTGAGCAAGCCCTGCAGCCTGCTGTGGGAGGGAGAGAGGGGTGAGGGGCTGATTTGGGTGTGTTTTACATGGGAAGATCCTTTGCCCAGCCAGTCAGCTCTGAAAGCGGGAGGGATGGAGGAGGGAGGACTACTCTGTAGCCCCATGTAGTGCAGGTGTCAGTGCCAGTGCTGGAGCAATGGCTGCAGATTCTGCCAGTTCTGGCCCTGGAGGACAGCCTGACTTGTTCAGCTCTGTGACAGTGTACTCCCTGGCTGCCTGTGCTGCACAGCTGATTGTGGGCTACATACTGGCACAGCGTCTTGGCAGGAAATGCTCTGGCTCTGACAGATGGACTCTGGTCTGGCTATTCTATGATGCTATTGTGCACTTCACACTTGTGAGTATCTCAGAATCATCGAAATCAGGAATCTCACTTCACTACTTAATTTACATTATGTCCATGAGGGAGTAGGTTCTCAGCTTTTCTGGAACTACAACTCCCATGATGCAATGCCAGCTATAAGGGTGTAGTTCACCAAAAGGTGAAAGTCTACCTTCTGGCCACCTGTGATTTGTCCCATATTAACCTTTTTTTAGCTAGTCCTTGTAATGAATGTGAATGAATGAGTACCAATACCAAAGTGGGGTGTGTGGCAAATAATTTAAAAATAAATGCAATTAAAATATATTTATTTTTACTTCAATGATTCTATATTGTTATATTTGTCATTGTTCTAAATGTTTGATACTGTAGTATAGCATTCCATTTCAAATGGCTGCAGTGTCGACCTTTCTGCTGTGTTGATAAGGTAAACCGACCCCTGCCCTGCAAGCAGATGTTGTTGTGGTGATAACAGCCGTACTCATGTAATGTAAAGATAATGCTTATCAATACGTGAAACAATACATAGTTCATATAATATTTTATATCACCAGTAAAACATACAGGGTTGCTAATAGTGCTGTGTAGATTGTTGACAACATACAAATAAAATTTGAGGATAATTAGAATATCTGCAATATGTATAAATAACACGCTATAGTGCACACCATTTAAGAGTAACCATACAGTTGAAGAGATTTAAAAATATATATTTATGCAGTCCATTTTAATTAAAATTTTTATTTTTTAATATGGTTTTATTGGTCGGTGCAAGTTTCATTACATGAAATACAAGTTGTATACGGTTCAAACAAGCCCATCTACGTGCATTCAATACATATACTAATAAAACACTCCTTACTGCCTATAATACATCACAACCAAAAAAGGTACACCGTGTGGACAGGAATTTGAAAGGAAAAAAAATTACATTTGGTCCCTCTGCTGCTTTTTGTTGTTGTTGTTGTTGTTGTTAAAATTCTTTATTTTTGCTGTGCACACGATTCCATACACACTTGCTATACCACGACCGTATTGGCAAGCAATTCAAGAAACATACAAGGTGTAACTTTGACATGGTATATGAAGTAACTGCACAATTTTTAAGTAAGTGAAAACAGGCTTCACGATAACATCACTATTCCTGAGGTGTAATGGATTCAGGCTAGGTATATACGTTTAAAACAGTGGCTTGAACTAGGCGAGTAGGTACGAGAGGCACGTTACAAATAGTGATGAGCAGCAGGAATGAAATTATATGGTAAGACAAGCTTTTATCCATAGCCTGGTACGTTTTGCTGCATGACACATTTTGAACTGTAGTATGTCATATTAGGTACACGTGTCTACACAGTTAGTATATGCTTGGGAAAACATGCTGATTATATGTACTAGTTTTTAAAGTTAAAATAAGCTAGACACGTAGTTATGTGGATGCGATGTAGTCTGCCCACAGGGTAAAAGAGTGTCAACGCATGTTGCCTGTTACCGACTGAGCCTGCTGTAGGCAACGAATGTTACCACCGTGACTGGACTCAGAAGCAATTTGGTACACTAAATAATATATGAAAAAAAAGAAAAGAAATAATAGAACAACATAAAGGTCATTCAATAAAACAATACTGCAGTGGTCGCAGGAGCCAGTCTCTGTGTGGACCTTCTGGTTTCTCAAATTTGAGTTTCAACCGACTCCAGCGCTTGGTTGGCACAACTCGTGGTCAGGATGCGTAGTGGTGTCCCTTTGCGCCCTCTCGCTGATCTGCGGCAGGTACTGGGCTTCATATAGATGGGGCTTGGTCAGTTGTGGTGTCTCAGGCCCGGGCCGATGTGGCGGGCTGTTGTTGTCTGGGAGCTGGGTGGGTGGTGGCATACCCCGGCCCTTCAGGCCTGTTGAGTTGGGATCGGCTGTGCGAGGGGTTGGAGACTTCTGTAGGCTCTCGTCTCGTCGTCTGTGTCTTGCTCTGTTTTGTTTTGGGTTACTCGTTTGGGTTGTGGTGGATCCGTGAGGTGTTCTCAGGTGTGTCTGTAATGCCTTTGCTTGGGCCCTGCTTGTCGGCTTTGGGGAGGTTTTTGCCCCTTGGTGGCTTCTGCATTGCCGATTGGCGGTCCCCTCTGCACTGTCTGCTTGCTTTGGAAATTATCCAATTTAGTTTATCACTATTATTTCTGGTGTAGATTAGAAACCTTTAAGTCATTTATGAAAGCAAGGTGGCCTCCTCTTCACTCCAGTATGAAGGCTGCCTATCAAAGGAGAACTACATTATTAAAGAATATTTAATAATTACATTTTTAATTTTGTTTCATGTGTTTTGAATAACATAAGTTAACAATCTAGCTGTTTATTCCTTCTTCTTTTTTCTTCTTCTACCCCCCCAGTGAAAAAAAAAAAATAAAATCTTTTTGAATGTTACCATGTGATAATTGATATTGTAGTTGATACTCTGACCTTTATAGGAGTAAAAAATATGTGTATTGTTTTTCAGGAGGGTCCGTTTGTTTACCTGTCTTTGGTGGGAACAGTGGCTACGTCGGACAGTATGATGGCTTCATTGTGTGAGTATGAAACTTGCTTTTGCTCTTTTGTCAAAGGGATGTTTTCATACTGATCAGTAGAAAATGATATTGAGGAGATTAAAGGAACACTCCAAGCACCATAACCACTACAGTAGGAATGTTCCTGGATAGATCTGCATTTCTATTCCTTTGGGTGACCGGGCTTCACATAATGCCCAGAAGGGTGATAACACACCTCCAAGCAGGCACAACAGTCAGGGACAGGTCAAGAATGATGAGGCCAAGCCAAAGTCAAGGAATACAGAGCTTAGTACTCCTAACACTATAGCGTTCCATTAAGTGGACCTGACCAATAAGTAACCTGACAAAAGGAAACACAAATGACTGAATCCAGCATATCTCTCTAAATATCTACTTACGCTATAGTTCTACTTTGCATCGTATCAATCAAACAAATTCCTACTACTAATTATACTTCTACTTTAAACTCCCTCAGGTGCTGATTTAATAAAGGTGTTCTATTTTTATACTCCTGTTATTTGCTTTGAATAATGTGATTTAAATTTCATAAAACTTAAAAACATTGCTGCTCTGTGACCATATGTGAATGTTTGAAATATCAACTACAGTTGTTGATGCAGAGATTGTTGAAAAACCAGAGACTGAAAACCACAGTAATTTAATAAAATTTAGAATTCCTCCTTGTTTTGTCAAAAAAGGAAAGAAAAACAATAACCCTACAATATGACATTATCTCCTTAAAGGGACTCTTCAGGCAGTAGATCACCTACATTTTTCAAACACATTTTATAAATAAAGTATTAAAACAGTTAAAAAATAATGCTTAATCCCCTCTACTATTTGTATTGTCGCTGGAACCCCTTCTGCAAGCTTTCCCTGAACACCCGGACATCCACGGAGTAACAGTAGGGAGCAAACAGTTTTTGGTCTTTGCATACGCAGATGATGTCCTACTATCAATTACCAACCCCGTAGAGTCTATGGCAGCACTCCAGGATCTACTGACGATATATGGAACTATTTCAGGCTATAAAGGAAACATGAATAAATCTAGCGCCCTCTCCTTAGGTCTGTCGGTGGCAAACACGGCACTCATACAAACAACCTATAGTATTCAGATGGCACATCACTCTATCAAATATCTAAGGACTCGATTAAACGCTGACCCCACTTAATTGTACAAAATGAACTATAGGCCTTTAATGGAAACAATGATTAGAGATATGGAAAACTGGATGGATAAACCGATATCTTGGATTGGCCGTGTTCATTCCGTAACGATGAACATATTGCCACGTATTTTATTCCTGTTCCAGGCCCTCCTGGGGGCGATTACAAAACCAGATTTGACGCCTCTACAAAGCGCTATAGGGTCGTTCATTTGGCAGAACAAGAGACACAGGGTATCCAGAAATGTCCTCTACCGCCCTAAAATGAGAGAAGTACTGGGTCTACCACATCTTTACTATTATTATTTGGCTGCACAGCTTACTCAGATAGCGATGTGGCATGTACCAGTGGATGTCAGAAAGTGGGTAGATTTAGAGTCATTAATGACGGGGGCAGATCTTCCCCAATACTACATATGGGTTTCTAGAGATCGAGGAGTTAATTTGCGGTCCACTTGCCAAGTAATACTCAACTCCCTCAGAATTTGGGATGCAACAGCTTATAAGTTTGGTTTATCGTCATCCCCTTCCCCAATCACCCCTCTACTAAGAAACCGGGTCCCCTCTAGTGGCGTTAACCCTGCAAGGTAATTATTGCAGTTTATAAAAAATTGCCTTAATTACACTTGCAGGGTTAAGTGTAGTGGGAGTTGGCACCCAGACAACTCCAATGGGTAGAACTGTTCTGGGTTTCTACAGTGTCCATTTAAGTACAATTGTTTGATGGGTAAACTGACAGCGCAGGTGAGAAACACTGTACATAAGTTTGAGAAAATATGGGAAGCCTGGAACACAAGTGACTTTATTGACTGAACTAGAATGATTTTCGGAGAGTTGTGGGGAGCAGAGTTGACACTTTGGCTAGTGCGGCACATCGCTCCCTGCCTCCCCCCGCCCTCCCCTTCCCCAGCAGGCGATCACTACTTACTATACTATCCTTTTCTTTTTAACCTTCATCGCTTTGTCTTACTATCGTTTCTTTTACTGATAATTTCTGTCCCTGGCTATATCTATGGAACCATAAGTATATGTTTCTCAGTATCTACTCAAGGATGCAGTATGTGCCTAATACCTAGGTTGTGCGAATTTCACGCATTCCACCCCCCCCCAAAATACAGAATCTCATTTTGTCAGAGCCAATGGATCTTTCATGTCTCTCTTCTCTCTCTACTATCTATAAATAAGTTTACACAATTTGTATATTTGATTTATGTTGTGGATTAAAAGAATACTGTTAAGTTGCTTACGTTGGATGAAACGCTGCAAATTATGTTATGTATCGTTTCCTTCTTATTATTGTTCCATCTGAACAGTGAAAGTATGTATTCTGTATTCTTTGTTATGCTAATTCTTGACCAAAAATAAAAAATTTAGAAAAAATAAATAATGCTTAAAAGTATTCTATCCACGCTGGAATTTCTCTGTAACAACCAGCACACCTATATTTCTTTCATTTGCTTCTTAGGGAAAGAATATGGAAAAGCAGACACTCGATGGCTCCATTCTGACCCAACCATCGTCTCCCTTGAACTACTCACAGTTGTCCTGGATGGACTTTTAGCTGTAGTTCTCATATATGCCATCATCAAGGATAAATATTACAGGTCAGTATTCCATTAACCCCAATAAACAGAATTGATTCTGTCTGTAAAACTTATGTCAGGGTTTTTTTGTGCCACTCATTGGAACCTGCATGAGGGTCTGGTTGGCCTAAGGAAACATCTGTAATATATGGCAAATCAGGAATGCGGTAATCACTGTATTTTTATTTAGGAAGCACCGTTATACGCAGTAGATTTGAACACATAGCAAATACTTCAAGGACCACTAAAGTCACCTCATCTCAATGAAGGGATTTGTGTGCAGTGGTCCTGTAGGTTTAACCCTGCAATGTAAAACATTGTTTTTTTGTTTGTTTTTTTTTAGAAATTTCAATGCTTATATACACTATAGGCACCCAGATCACTGCATCTCATTGAAGTGATCGGGGTGCAGTGTATCTGCTCCCTTAACCCTGCAGCTGAAAACATTGTAGATATGGTAAATTGTCATTATGTTCCACCTCGTGGTGACGTCTGAGGAGACAGAGCCATGGCTGAGGGACTTCGGTGCTGGAATAAAGTAAGGGGAAAATTAAATTTTTATTTAAAACCTTTTTGATAGAGAAAGGGGAGAGGGAGGTCACGGGAACAGAGGGAAACTATGCTTCCTGCTGCAGCAACGGCGTACACGTGTGACTGTAGCCCCCCATAGGAAAGCACTGATTTAATGCTTTCCTTTGGATAAATTTGATGTTCAAGTACAACTTGCTGTGTATGTGTATCATGTCCCCAGTGCCTACTCGGTGATGTCGTGGGAGGGGCAGAGGTAAGCAGAGCCTCAGAGCTGGAAAAAAGGTAAGTAAAAACTATTTATATTCATTTTTATGCCGAACTGTGTGGGGACCTTGTTATTAGGGATACCATGTTTGTATTTGTGACGCTTTAACTGGTGACGTAACTTTTTCAATTATTCTTATTGTGTTTCAGGCACTTTGTGCAGATTACATTATGTGTATGTGAATTATATGGAGGATGGATGACATTTTGTCCAGATTGGCTTCTTGGCAGCCCCAGCCTTAATACCAATAATTGGCTTTACCTGTGGGTCTACCTAGTGTTTTTTAATGGCATATGGGTTGTTGTACCAGGACTGTTACTTTGGCATTCCTGGGTGGAACTCAGAAAAATGCATCTTGGCAAGCAGAAGCCAGGAAAGAAGTCGCGGTGAAGATAAAGAAGAACTCTTGGAAACCTTTACTCGTGTTTATGAGACACTATCATCAAATAAAAAAAATAAAATGGGTTATCACCTTTAATACACCGAGGAAAGCATTTTAGAGGCGATTCATGAGATTGTAATGAATTTCAATAATTTGATGATTTTTATTAAAAAAATGTTTTTGCAAATGCATCCCTTCCATATGGATAAGTTGAACACTTATGTTCTCAAAACTTGTAATTATTCATTTTTTTTTCAAATAAAAATATTTGATAATTTCTTTAGTTTTCTTTTATTTGTCCCCCAATACATGACCATAGGGATTTCTATCTGACAGGACAGGGAGCTACTGAAATATATACACTTTAGCTCCTTCTAACAATCCCTCACTTGCAAGGTTTAAAAGGCAGAAATCCTATCGCTTATGTTAGGCAACTCAAGTTTATGTTGTCTAGCCAGATGTTGCAAGGGTCCTGCTTCCATCTCCTGGGAAGGCTTGCTCAGTCTGTGAGTACGTCCTTCTCTTATTTGTAGGGAGATGCACACTGGGCATCTAAGATCCTGGCCTCAATTATTTCCACCCAGTCGACGCCGGGTGCTGTAAGAGGCATAGGTGCATCTCCACGCAAGTGTGGGCTGGGATATTCCTTAGGAATACCCCGTAGGTGGAACACAGACCCAGGTGGAGTCACATTCTGATGAGTAAGTGCGGGCTGCTATATGCATGCGCAAGTGATCTAGGCACCAGTTTTGAATCAGGAGCTTAGTTGTCCAGATATTTAAACTTGGCAGTGACAATCTGACTGATGGATGCGTGTCAGATTAGTTACCATTGTGCTAAGATCAGTGACCGTTTCTTTGCTTTGCGCATAGTTTATTGTTGTGTTTTTTTTCTTTTGGTATGGCTAACACTCCTGATACTCCCGACAAGCCAGTGGAGAAGGCAAAGTGTTGTCCAATCACTTGGAATGTGCAGGTTACAACCAACCGTTACCACTACTATAGAAAGACATTATGCAGTCAGTGCTCCAGAGATGCCCTGAGAGGTCTAATGGGTACGAAATCTTGTCCTTTTTTTAACTGATTCCAAACTAGTCTGCAGCAGACTTTCCTAGACATGTGGTCTGCTGCTTTTCAGTATCTTCAATTAAATTAGCTTTCTACACCTTCCTATATGGTGGAAGACGTAGAAAAGAGATGGGAAGACAAATATTGTTGCTGGAATGGGATCATAGAGATTCTTTAGATCATCCCATGAGTCTGCAGGACTCTTCCAGTTCAGATGTTTGTTTCCTCTTCTGCAGATGAGTCCTCTGAACAGTCTTCTGTTGCACAAAAGTTCAGTCCAAAAGACTTCCATTTACCTTCTTCAGTAATTATAGACACTACTAAAGAAAACCATCATAGAAGAGTTTCTCTTGCAGATATTTTCACAGGAACATATTCAATAATTTGCCTTGTACAAAAACAGATGGTTATTTCAGACTAAAAGAAAGTCAACTGTCCTGTTCCAAGGTAGAAATTTTGAATGAAAACAATCCATATAACTGCTTAGAGAAGGAGATTGGATCTGAAAGCAGAAGGCTTCTGAGATTGTGTTCGGATCAAGCTCAGTATGATCACCATCAATTCAGAGTACACCCTTACAGCTTTTCATGCAGCTACTTCTGACCTCTGATTTGTACGCAGAGTTTTAACAATGGTGGTTGTCACAGCCTTCTTAAGGAGGAGAGATGCACCTGTAGTTCCCTATCTGGACCATTGGCTGCTGAAAGCCTCATGAAAAGATCAACTTCTGCAGGATAAAGTCAGAAGTGATTGTGGTCAATCCATTCTGGGCAAGGAGAAGTTGGTTTTCCACACTGAGGTCCCTTTTCAGAGGCAATTTTTGTACTCTTTGGGACATTCTTGAGTGCAATCTGGTTCCTCTTTTAACAATCAAAACCTTCAAGCTGACAGCTTGGTGTCTGAGTGGCAAATATTCCCTGCAAGTATTCTCTGAAAGTTTCTGCAACTGGGATTTGCAAAATGACTTTGTTTAACTTCTCTTAAGGTTCAGGTTTTAGCCATTAGTTTCTACTCTATTAGAAAATCAGCCTCTCATCCTTTTGCTACTTCTGGCTGTATCCAATTTATTTCCCAGTGTCAGAGTGATTGTTCCTCAGTAGGAACACGGTCCTTTAGGACTTTCCTTTTGAACCTTTGCAATTATGTAGCATGAAAATCCTTACCTGAAAGATGGTCTCCTTGGTTGCCATTACATCACTTAAAGGCTTGGAGAGCTGCAGGCACTTTCTTCTAATTCTCTTTAACTGGTGTTCCATCTGGTTATATTAGTTCTCAAGCTCCATCATTCCGTCAGACAGAAAGTTGCATCCCTATATAACATCATCCATTAGATCATATTACAGACGTACCTGAATAGGACAAAATATTATAGAAAATTGGATCATCTTTTTGTTCTTTACCATGGATCAAACAAAGGGCAAATGGCTTCTAAATGCTCTCTTGCCAGATGGATTAAAGATGAATTAAAGGAACACATAAACATTGTTACATGGAAGGAAAGAAACATATGTCCATCAAGTTCAGCTTGTTTTTAACATGTTTGTACTCCTAACGATATAGTTTTAATTTACTAATTTAGGTTCCCACCATCACCCCACCTGTGAATGTTTGAAAAGTGACATTTACCTACCTTTCAGCCCATGCTGTGGCAGTCTCTGTCCTGCCGCTCCGCCTCTTTGACTGAGATAATTTGACACATGATAATTTTCAGTCGGTTGTAGGTGGTGAAGCACCACTAGCGGCCATTATACTGACCACCACTAGAGGTGAGTTAACCTTGCTGTGTAAACAATGCAGTTTCTACAAAACTGTAATGTTTTACATTGCACATGGAAAACTTCATGGCCACTGCACCCAGACCACTTCATTGAGATGAAGTGGTCTGGGTGCCTTTAATAGTCCTTTAAAGAAGCTATTTCTCTGAATAACAAGGCTTCCCCTTTCCTCCTACCTCAGAGTATATTATTATTACTATGCTATTATTTATATAGCGCCATCAAATTCTGCAGTGCTTTACAATGGGTGGACGAACGGACATGTAGTTGTAACCAGACAAGTTGGACACACAGGAACAGAGGGGTTGAGGGCCCTGCTCAATGAGCTTACATGCTAGAGGGAGTGGGGTAAAGTGACACAAAAGCTAAGGATAGAATTAGACTAGTGACAGTTGCAAGAGTGGAATCAGTCAGGAGCTATTAACAGTTTAATTGATACGCTTTTATGAAGAAGTGGGTTTTTAACGATTTTTTGAAGGAGTGGAGACTGGGTGAACATCTAACGGAGGAGGGAAGTGAGTTCCACAGGAACGGTGCAGCCCTCGAGAAATCTTGAAGGCGAGCATCAGAGATGGGAGTACGGACAGAAGATAGACGTAAGTCTTCAGCAAATCGTAAGGGCCTAGACGGGACATACTTGTGTATTAGGGAGGATAGATAGGTGGGAGCAGCATTATGTAGAGATTTGAAAGCAAGAACCAGAGTTTTAAATTGAGCCCTATATCTTACAGGAAGCCAATGTAGGGACTGACAGAAGGGTGATCAGATTTCTCTCATTACGATATGTAATGGGGTTCCTGTGCATGATAGAGGGTGAAAGAATGAAAACAAGGAGGAAAAAAAATCTACTTTAACAACTTGAATAGTATAGAAATGTGTGGAGTATGCATGCAGTTAATTGTACAACTTAAACTTAAAAATCACTATTTAGTGTATATACCCAACATGACAGCATGCATGCATTTTTACTGTACATTTTTTCATTGAGGCTATCTAAAAACATCTTGCAAAAACTGCAGATCTCTTTTCTGCTTTCTTTGCAAGCCCTCCTCTACTATCCCCGCCCAGACTTTCTGTGGCTGTCCAATCACAGACTTCCCAATGCAGCTAAATGAGAAGTCTTTGCAAGGCAGGTGCTCGGAGCAACTGCTGCTTTTTGAGTTTGTCTCCAATAAGCTAGAAAACCAGCAAGTACCATGACATGTTGTCTGCTTGAAAGCCAGGAGGTGTAACCAGGTTAATTTATAAAACTGTCAATTTCTATTGAAATCTGCACTTTTTGCAAAATGAAAAAAAGAAGGCTCACTTCACACATAAAGCTTTTCAGCAAGCTAAAGTGCTTTGGGGGTCTTCAGTGTCCCTTTAAATCAAAACTATTTGTAGATACGGAGTTATATGCTGGCAGTGTATAGTATGTACCACTAGGTGGCACTAATGACCCAGCAATGCAATGTCTAGAAAATATATTTGGCTTTTATTTCTAAAGTTTAATGTAATGGCTGTGCTGCCATTCACCTATAGGTGTTGTCTCCATAAGGTTTTTTGTCAAATCATTTCAGGGAGGTTTGATGAAAACTGAGACTCCCAGCACTTGGAGACTGCCCACTCCTCGGCTGCATTTTAAATGCAGAATTTACACACTGCTACTTCATCAGTAATCACAGTGGCCCAGTCGGAAGGGGGTGGGGCCAGATGGGGGAGTTATGTCATCACCAATGACATGCACTCCCCCCCCAACCCCTTTCAAAGTGAACATGTTGGATCAATGCTCTTCCAGGGCAGCCCATGCGCAGTGCTCTGCTTAAGTGCTCTTGGATGAGAAAAGGGCCATGTATTTGTTCTGCACAACTGTGTTTGCTTGTGACTTGTCTTTGGTGTCCCCATGAGCGGAATACCAGAGGACAAGAGGGCCAGGAAACATATTGTGCATGTGTTTGGAGGCTGCTTATGGGATTGTGCGTATGTAGAGTGAACTAATTGTGGTGCTGTGTTTTGTGTAAACAGGTCAGGGTGGTTTTTAAGTTGTGGCTGGTCAGTTTGTACAAATCCCTCCCAACTTATAGCACAACATGTATTATTACATGTATATTAAATGTCAGTAATAATATATTCTCTGTATTGTACCACTCGGGTAGCTTAATTGGGTCTCGATTTCATAAGCTTAAAGAACGATTGAACACTGTTGGAAAAACTTTTCAAATGATTTAGTTACAAAAATTCCCATAGATTTTAAAGGTGACTTCTGTGGGTGAAGTATTTTGAACATTTTCCTAACGGTATTGAATCATTTGGAAAATGTATTAAATCATGGTCTTAGTCCAATAAGAAATCCATCACTTTATGGAATCGCCTGGTTTTATTATAAACTTCACGCTTCTAGAGTCCACCGGAAACCGGGAATTTTTTATTTGGTGTAACACAGGCAGGTATGTAATCTTACAAACTGCTGCTAGTCATTTCCTGCTGAATAGTTAGTAATAAACTTTGTAATGGATATTTGACACCAACGTGATTGCACACATCCCGGTCACTGTGCTAATCCACCCAACTGCAAGACATGTGACTGTGATTCTGTATTAGACATGGCTTTCAACAGCTCCTCCTAGAAAAGGTATGATAGCAGGAATGTAACCAGTAATAGGCAACAATTATACTAAGACACAATATGAAACATTTCTAGAGTAACTGACTGTTTAAAGAAAGCAAAAAACATTTTTATTAGAAATTAAAATGCCATTTAAACCCAGCCTCATTTTTCATGCAGTGTCTTTTAAAAGGTGACATGTCCTTTATAGAGGAAATGGGAACATTAAAAATACACTGCAAATATGTGAAGAACTTCAGCTTGATAATGTGATTTAAGGGCTAAAATCCCCAAGTGTTAACTTCAAGAGAAATCAGCAGTTTTATAAAGCTCGTAGGTTCCAACATCCTAGCTGTCAGTTAATGGGACACTACAGGCACCCAGAGCACCTCAGCTCATTGAAGTGGTCTGAGTTCAGTGTCCCTATTGCCTTTGTCCTGCAATGTAAAGCATTGCAAGTTTAGAGAAATTTCAATAATTACATTGCAGTACTAAGACAGCCACTAGAGGGGCTTCTGGGATTTTACCAGACTTTTGGTCGCCTGACGCTGGACATCTTCATGCTCTGCATGAGGACATCAAGCATCAGCAAAATCTCCAAAGGAAAGTATTGTTAAATATTAGTTATTATACACATATTAGTTAAATATGAGATATAAGAAAGAATATTGAAAATACTGGAAAGTAACAGTTCTCCTTTAAATGTATAAAACATATACATAACTAGTTAGTGAAATCTTTCAAGTCCACCACCAAACTACCTCAAACTACTACCAGTAAACATATAGAACAAAAATATAACTAGTGATATATATTTTTGTTTCTAAATATGATACCCCCCACCCCCCTTAATTCTAATAAAAGGCTGGAATGAGTTAACAGGGGAATTGGAAAACTTTTTCAAGATTAGCTAAATTGGAAACGTTTTTCAGGGTTCGGTTGTAAAATTAAATAATACACAATGTCAGTTATGGTTTTTTTTCTTTTCAAATGTTTTTTTATTATAGATATATTTGTTTCCATAAAAGTATGAATAATGATATAATATGAATATATATTTAACTAACATACAGAAAAAACTAAACAGAAAAACAAATAACCGGGAATACAATTTACACATATTATCGTATACAATATGTAATAATTAATGGGTTTTTTCGATAAAGTATAGTCAGTTTTTAAAAATAAATAAATAAAGATGCCAAATATGTTACATGCAACAATATTCTTACAATAAAATCATATAAATAATTTTATCTGGTCAGGTGACGTTATACGTTATAATTTATATCGAGTCTTGATATCCCGTTCCCAGAGTTCCTATTCATATTTCAGAACATTAACTGTATTGGAAGGTGATCTAAAGGCTAATTCACATCTCTTTTTTCTAGGTTTCTAGATTATTATGCAACACCTCAGTCATAGAAGGAATAGTAGCTGTTTTCCAATATGGAGGAAGGACCCAAGTGGCTGAAAGAGATGGCCTAAAATAATTATTTTAATTTTGGGCAGATCATCTGGGAATCTCTTCAGGGGATAAAATGTTGGTGTTATAATGGGGATTTGATCAGTGATGAGTTTAATTAGAGTATCTTCCCAATATTGTTTTAGTTTAGGGCAAGACCAAAAGACATGATACAGAGTAGCAAGTTGACCACACTCCCTCCAGCATGCGTTAGTCTGAGATAGTTGCAATTTAAAAGGTGTAGAGGGAGTCTGATAATATCTGTATATAATTTTGAAATGAGATTTCAAAAGAGCCGCAGACTGTGCGATACCATGTAATGCCATCAGAATCTCGTGCCATTCCTCCACTTTAAACTCGTTTTTATAGTTCGTTTTCCCATTTTGTCATATTGTCTAATTTTGGACTAGATTCCCCAGCAAGACATTGAGATGGTGCATTTCCAACCAAGGTCTGAATGATAATTTTTTTTCTAATGATGACATTATAACTTTACGTATGTTGAGATCCTGATCAGACACATTAAAATGATCACTAAGTAAATCCAACATCTGTCTGAGCATCAGGGCATCGGAGTCGTCCAGACCAAACTTGGTCTGTAATTGGTCAAAAGGTAAAAACTTATTAGACAAAAATAAATCATTAATATGTATGACAGAATGGGAAAGCCAATATTCCACAACTAGATCAGGTAACACAGATCGCAACACCAACAAGGGAGCAGCCCTGGACCAAGTAGTAGAAGGGTTGATCTTTTTACACAAGACATCCCAAGCCATAGCACTTCTTTTATTAAACGAAGAAGACTTTTTGTAGCCTCTATCTCAAGCCACAGGGGATGTCCATGATCCAGATTAAATTTCAGAGCATTGGCTGCATCAGTGGCAAAAAAATAATGAATAAACTTTGGCAAACCCATACCTCCACTAACTCTGAGCTTTTGTAAGATGGCCAGTTGAATTCTGCAAGGCTTCCTATTCCATATAAATGTCAGAAGGGCAGAATGGACCTTCCTAAAAAAGGATAATGGTGTAGTGAGGGGAATCGTTCTAAGGAAATATAACATTTTGGGAAGGAGAGTCATTTTAACTGAATTAACCATGAAATTTCCAGACCATACCACCTCTCAATGTCATCCCTAAATGCAGGCCAGACCTTTGCTAGATTATAGATATGCATCTTCGACAGATTTTTACATAGATTGATGCCCAATTAGGAAATATATGATTATGTGCAGTCAAAGTCAAATTTATATTTTAGAATATCCAATTCCTGCCAAGGGATAAAGAAGGAAAGTGCCTGGGTTTTATTTGTATTCAGTTTGTAATAAGAAATTTTGCCAAATTCTTGCAAGATAGACATTAATGGTGGAACCGAGGTCAAAGGATTTTTCAAAGATAGCATTATGTCATCTGCAAAAAGGCCTACCTTATGTGTTATTTTTATCGAACATTGGGGAAGCTCAGGCCCTCCTCTTCTAATGATCGATGCAAAATTTTTGTGCCAACCTTTTATCCCAAACAAAGTGAATAAATGCTCTTTGCAGATTTTCCAAGTAGATTTTATGGAGGTGGATTTGTAGTGTCTTCAGAAGATATTGAAATTTGGCTAGTAAAATCATCTTAATGACCACTAGCCTTCATAACCAGGACAAACATTTTCCTTCCCATGCTTGCATTGGGTCAGGGAATCCTTTAATAATTTTTCATAATTATATTTGAAGAGATTACCCAGGGTTTTGGTAAGTTTAAGCCATAAAAATGTGACATCATCCGTTCTCAAATCTAGGGAGAAGCTGAATTGCAGAATATCTGGGACTTCCCCACTTATGCCCACTCCCGCTGCTTGAGTTTTAGATACATGGATGGAGGTATTGTCTCTAATGCTAGCTGCTAGTGGCTCTAGTGCCTTGATGAAGAGTAATGGGGAGAGTGGGCACCCTTGACGTGTTCCATTAGATATTATAAATGGTTCGGACAAAGGGCCAGTGTGTTAAGCCCCCCGAGCCACCAGATAACTATATAGTGCCCTCATTGCTGAAAGAATCACCCCCCCCTTTAAGCTATTATTTAGCTTATACCGCAACTTCTCAATGGCCTGTTGATGTATTTGTTTAGTGATATGTGCAAGATGATCTTTTAGGATCATATATGGTTTTATTTGATTTTAAATATTTAAATGATACAGTTCCTGTTGCCATTTTCATAGTTGTGTTTGTGTTTTCTTACGCAAAAGAAATGCCCTTTGTATGAGCAATCCCCTTGTTACAGGCTAATGTGCTTCCCATAATGTCTTAGATGACATTTCTGGTGTGTCATTTTCTAAGAAGTAATGTTGTAGGGCATTGTTTAGATCCTGTGTAAATCCAGTGTCTTGCAGTAAGGAGTCGTTAATTCTCCCGGCACTACGATGATTATAATCATATACGTTTTTAAGCTCCAAGAGAACTGGTGCGGGATCCTATATTGTATTTGAATATTTGATTGAGTGATGATCTGAACATAAGGAATCCGTCAATACGAGAGTAAGAATCTTGAACTGTAGAATATTGGGTATAGGAAACTGTAAAGTAGGGCTCCCCACAAAACCTTGAACAATAAAGCAATATAAATGACATAACAAACAATAAGTGTGTCTGAGAAAAACTCTGCATTCGTATTTACAAATGTAGTGCAGATAGGAAAAAAAGTAAGATAAAAAGACACTTCCTTGCAGTGCCTCGAGTGATGACGCTTATAGCTTCTTTCCTGGATGAGCACTCCATAATGGTGTGTCTCTCAGTCATATATCATTAAACAGTGTGACCCTTGTATACAGTAGTACAACAGCGTAATAACTTATCAATGCTAAAAATCAAGAAATTCAAGAAATATATTTATGAGCATCTTGTTACATTGGCAACATAAGGTGAAATGAATGCACAAATGTTGTTGATGGAAACAGTATATGATAGTTAGACAACAAATATATATGTGTAGAATTGTGGATTGTTGTTTTTTTTATATATAGTATATATATATAAACTTTTTCTGTGGCTGCTCTGTGTGCAGTCGTAGTCACCAAGATCATTGATCAATTAAAAGAAGAGTACTGAGAATTCCTCTCATGATCGTATTTTCATATTTGGCGATCATTCCATAGGCGGATATGGTCTTAGTGTGCATAATGCACAAATAATCGCTGTTGTAGCGTATTGGTGTAGATTAGACATATTTAATCAAGCACTATGACCAAGCTGACATCCATGCACATGAGCATTAATTCCAGAAATGTACCTATGTTTCCTCATGTATTTTGGACATAATTGTATGGTTTGTTGGTCAATAATCAGATTGTGATATGGCATTACCGTTGAACAGCAGCATTGTGTATGGTGTTGGGTGTGTTATGTAAAGGAGAGAGTTCAGTATCAACATATTCCCATAGTAGAAAATTAATTGCCGTCTTGCTTACTTCCATTTGGGGGAAATTTGTGTGCGTACTGGTGAGTCTCTGGGTGAAGTCAGCAAGTCCATGCCCCATTCTTAGAGTATGCATGCTCTTTCCTCCGCATTACTCCTGAGGAAAACCAGATGGTGGGTTTGTAGTTGTTCAATGACTGTGTGGAAGGCACTTTTTCAACTTTGGGAGTTTCTGTCCTGTGTATTCGGTCCAGATAGAAAACTTCTATTGGCGAGTTAGGACCAAGCATTTTGAGAGAGCCGGTGACATAGGCCGTCAAATCGTTCTGGCTCACAGTTTCAGCTTTGCCTCAGATAGGAAGGTTACCAAGTTACCAAGTTGCCAACTTGGTCTCATAGGCTTCCACTTGAGACATCAGGCTCTCCACCTTAGTTGCCAGGTCATAGTTCTGCCATTTTATCCTCTATGTTAGAGGTTCTTGTTCCTAGACCTAGAAGGTCCTTACAAAGGTTGCCAATGAACATCTGCAAGTGGTTTTGCAGACATATCGTCTAACATCGTTTGCATTGCCGCTTGAGTTACTGAGAAGTTTGGTGCTGGAGATTTCTGATCGCATCCATCTTCGGTGTCATCTTGGTTTGACTCCAAGTGCAGAGAACTCTTTGCCTGTCATGGCCGTGAGGCAAAGAAATTTGCTTTATCTAGCATTTCGGTGTTCCGTTTGCCTTTATGTTGAGACATGGTGACAAAATAAGCTCTCTGAGTTTATATTTTTCAGGTTAAGACTGACTTGAAGAACAGTTAGGACATGCTTCTGCTCTGCTCGAGATCCAGGATACTCTCCATCATTTTAATATTTTAATTATTCTAAGGTGACACTCTTAGCCAAGGAATAATGTTAATTGTGCACAAAATGGATTTAGCTGCTGTACAACCAAATAGATTATAAACAATTTGTAAACAGTTTAACAGCAAGGTACCCTTTGCACTTTTTTGTCAATAAAGTTACTTATCCAGGACTATGGTTTCCTCATTTCAAAATGTCAAAAGACACATATATTGTTTGTCACGTACTTTGATCATAAAATTGGCTATAACCACTAGGCGAGCATAAAAATTTAAATAAAACATTTGAGAGATTTTTTTCTAGTTTATTCTGGTGTAATTGTCTTTATTCCCTTTTATTTCTTTAGAGACTGCATTTTAAGTAAAGTTTATAAAGTGTCAAATAGAATTTTCAACTATTTCTGTTTCAGTAACGACATCCATGATTATGGTGCAGTGTTCTCAGTTGTACTCTATGGCTATATTATATTAAATTAATACACGCAAGAATAAAATATGTTGGCAGAAGCCATTATTTGTCAGCATAAACTCACACGTCTATAAATAACTGTTGAAATTAGGGTTGGGTAAGCAACCTCATGAGAAATATTCAGGAAGGAATATGTAGATTAGTGGGGGAGGAAATGCTTCTGTAAGTATATGTGCAAATGCATCCCTGAATGGAAATTGCCCCAATCGCTACCAGAATAATGCGTGATCTAAGCATTGTATGATAATTTAATTACATTGTGCTCACTCTCAACTCTAAAAAGCACGTATCATTTTCTTGGATTTTTTAATCATTGTAGTCACTGCCCCTATAAACATTTTCTAATCTACACTATATCCTACTAAATCCAACAGAAATTATTGATAGTACAAATAAATAATGATCAAATCGTGAGTAAAAAGGTACCACCTCATACAATGGTGCTCATCATCAGTGGTGAAACTACCAAGATTGCAATGGTGGTAATTGTGACGAGGCCCTAAGGGTTCTTTATTTTGGGGGTGGAGGCAGGTAGCAGGGTCTATCACATGCCTACCATAAGATTTATTTGCATTAACCTGTAGCAACATCTCAGAGAGGTGACCTGTCTGCATGGGCCAGTGAGGAGATCAAGCATTCTCCATGATTGACTCTGTACCACTTAATACAGTGAAGAAACATGCAGTCATGCCCATTATAGCAATCTATGTGGCCGCCGGCACCTGTCAAAAAAGATTTAACTAGTCAGAGTCTGTGGCAGTCAGCCACATATGGAGGCCAGGTGTGATAGTGCGGTGTCTTCTTCATGGGTGCAACAGCTTGTGAGAGGGGTCCCGAGCAAGTACTAGAGCTGCTGTACTCTAGGGCCATCTGATGGACATGTGTCATCAGGGCTGTGGCACTTTCACAGTGCAACCGGCCCCTTTAAAATCTCAGAGCTCGTAGAAAGTAAAAGCTGATCATTTCCTCTCAGCTAACCAACTACAAGCCATCCGGGAGGGAGAGGAGGAGTCAGAGAAGAGGGGGCAGGGGTGGGGCAGAACAGAAGAGCAGGCTCCTAAATCCTAACAGCCTCAGCCAGCAGAAGTTACACTCTTGTATCTATATGTATGCCTTTGTGTGTGTCTGTATGTCTGTGTATCTTTGTGTTTGTCATTGTTTGTATCTGTATGTGTGCCACTGTGTGTATTTGTGTACCTGTCTGTGTTTCAGTGTTTCTATCCGTGTGTCAGCATATCTGCATATGTGGCAGTCTTTGTATCTGTTTGTCAGTGCATCTGTATATGTGGCAGTCTTTGTATCTGTGTATATACATGTGTGTCAGTGTATGTATCTCTGTATCAGTATGTGTGTTGGTGTTTGTTTCTGAGTGTCTGTGTATCTGTATGTATGGCGGTGTTTGTATATGTGTGTCTGTGTATCTAGATATGTTTATGTGCATATGTGCATACAGCTCAGCATTCAAACACTAGCACTACACACAAATACACTCCTGCCTTCATATGTATACACTGCATCCAAACACACTGGTACATTCACACACACATACTCCATAGAAAAATATACATTCAAACACACACAAACACTGCTTAGTGCTAAATACAATCCTGCAAGGATATGCAAACGATAGATTCCCAGCTGGCAAAGCATTGTGGGAGTTGTGCGACAGATGGGGATTTAGCATTTGGCCACCCTTACAATGGGGGAGTGGGAGGGCAAAGTAATTCTTGCACCAGGGCCCTCTCGATGTTAGTTCCACCACTGACTGAGATTATGATGGGAGGAGAGTTGGAAATCAAATCACGTTGAAAAAAAAAAATCTTGTTTGATGACTCCATGTGTTTTGGATAGACAACAAGAGAAGAAACTAAGCAAGGTGGATAATGTAAAAAGTCATGTATTTAATGAGATTCTGTATGTGATAGATTGATGTAAAAAGAAACATTGAGTTGGATAATAACATTTTGATGCCAAGACATATTTGAAAACTAGCAGAAATTTAATATACTGTTTCTGGTATAAAAAAAAAAAAAAACCAACCAGACAAAAACATATTTATTATTATTCTTATTATTCATTACTGGGCAGTAGATAAAATACAGGTTTAGTGTTCAATAAACACTATTTAAAATACCATTCCAATGATTAATGATTAAAGATTTCACCAAGTAAACATGGCAGTAATTTGTGTGCATGCACGGTGCAGACATAGCTGTTACAAGCAGTCCAACCCTAAATGATTCATGTGTTTAAAATAATTCCTACATGTATAATGGAATTGAAACTCACAAACTGCCCAACCCAATGAAATAATGAAACATAACTTTTATTACATCAGTTAAAATGTTTGAAAATTCTAAAACAAACAAAATGACATTAAAACAGTGATATCTCTGTGCTATATATTTATAAGCACATATATCCCGAGTGTCCTTATTTTACTTCTATAATGTCATAGGTAAGGCAAATATTAAAGTCTGATTGCCATTTTCTACGTTCAATGACCTAATGTTCAGCACAGACATTCAAGAGGATATTCACAATTCTTAGTTGTCTTTTAAAGGACAACACACTTTATTATCAATGTGATCACTCTAGTCCAGGGCTGCCCAACAGGTAGAACCTCAGATGTTATAGAACTACAACTCCCATGGCAGTTGTAGTTTTACAACATCTGGATCTACCTGTTGGGCAGCCCTGCTCTAGTCTGTGTGATTATTATTTTTGGTCAATACATTTATTTTAGTATTTTCTTTAATTCTTCGATCTGTTTAGCTGTGTAGGTGTGTCTGATCTGTTCAGGTGAAGAGAGTATTATCGTTAATCTCTACTGGATATGTCATATATATTTACGATATATTTGCATACCTATTTAGATCTCCTGTTAGCTGATATCACTGTTTAATGTACTTTTGTTTATTTTTTGAGTTTTCTAACATTTTAACTAATGTAATAAAAGTTATGTTTTATTATTTCATTGGGTTAGGCAGTTTGTGAGTTTCCTTGGCTTTATTCGGTATTGATTTAACTTATTATGGGTTATCCCACGCGTTTGATTTCTAACTTGGCACACTTTCTCTAACCCTTCGAGTTACTTAGTAATTCCTAAATGCACACACACATAATTAGTTACTCATCCTTTCACAATTCCTTTTACACAAAGCAATATTTACAAGAGAATTATCATACTTGTTATATAAATAAATGACTTACGTGGGAATGGTATCAAATTATTTTTGGACAATGCACTTAGTAATTATCATCAATATCAAGTCAATACATCTTTCCTACATTATACAGATATCTCTTGCAAGGGAAATGTTTGTTCTACAATTTTTGTTGCAATCTGGGGAAGAGAAAATGATCAATGGAAGCCAAACCTTCCCCTTTGGCACCTGGAATACCTTCAAAATAACTTACAAGGTGCAATATGTTACTATTTAGTGCGCAATTCTCAGGATTCTGCGGTTAAATGCATATGAATTACAAATCTAGTTGGCAAATGGGGAAACATTTAACAAATTTACATTGGTCCAAAGAGGCTGTGGTTGCAACTAGCTGGGTACTTTACATAAGGGAATGGACAGATGAGGTAAAGGAATTGAACAGGAAGTGGAGTGGCATAAAATTGCTTTGGGTGACCAGAGCGTGGGGACATCCAGCATCAGTTAGGCGACCAAAGGTTCGTTAACCACCAGGAAGTGCCTCTAGTGGCTATCTGTTTGATACAGGCTGTCTTAGTCCTTTCTCAAAAACTGCAATGATTTACATTGCAGGACTAAGTGGAACAGGGACACTGCACCGAGACATCTTCAATGAGATTAAGTGGTCTGGGTGACTACAGTGTCTCTTTAACTGCAAAGGAATGGTATGAGAGGAAGGCAGTGTTTCAAATGTTATGCAAGTGGCGGTAAGTAAACAAAGTGCTTGACAATGAGAATTTGATAAACTACTTCCTTGAATTTTTACACGAAATGAATGAGATGAAAGAAGCAGATATGTAAGGATTGCTTAAAATATTTAAAGTATGTCAGTTTACACTTTAACTGCATGGACAGACACCACTAACAGGCGATTCCACAAAGTAAAAAAATAAAATAAAAATCTAGACGCGCAATGGTTTCTTTGTACAGTGCAGACTTTTAATGGAAACAGCAAGCAGTCTATGTATGTGAAACCTTAACAGGTAAGGCTGAGGAGGTTTTTGGGTGTGTGGGAATGATGGAGTTTCTGTCCACGACAACGTTTATGAAAGGTATAAGGGATCTT